GTAGAGTTGTTGATGCTGATGGGTTCTAAAACAGTTTTTCTGTAGAGTTCTTAATAAATTCTTCTTTGCAACAAATCTTCTGTAGACGGTCTATTCTGTAATAGAATTCTACCGTAGAGTTGTTGATAAGCTCATCTTTGAAATACTTCTTATGTTAAGGTGTTGATAATCTGTGCTTTGAAATAATTCTTCTATATACTTGTTGATAGGTTCTTCTCTGAACACCTCTACTTTAGAGACTTGTTGATGATTCATTTCTAAAACACTTCTTCTGTAAACCTCTTCTTTGAAATAATTCTTCAGTGTAATTGTCGATAGGCTGTTCGATAAAACACTTCTTCATTAGAGACTTGTTTGTGATTCATTTCTAAAACACTTTTTTCTTTGGAGTTCTTAGTTGTTTCATTTATAAAACATTTCTTATGTATAGAATTGTTGGTGATTCACTTCTAAAACATTTCTTCCATAGTGTTGTTGATAGGTTCTTCTATAAAACATTTCTTATGTATAGAATTGTTGGTGATTCACTTCTAAAACATTTCTTCCATAGAGTTGTTGATAGGTTCTTCTATAAAACATTTCTTCCATAGTGTTGTTGATAGGTTCTTCTATAAAACATTTCTTCCATAGTGTTGTTGATAGGTTCTTCTATAAAACATTTCTTCCCTAGTGTTGTTGATAGGTTCTTCTATAAAACATTTCTTATGTATAGAGTTGTTGATGATTCACTTCTAAAACATTTCTTCCATAGAGTTGTTGATAGGTTCTTCTATAAAACATTTCTTCCATAGTGTTGTTGATAGGTTCTTCTATAAAACATTTCGTATGTAGAGAATTGTTGGTGATTCACTTCTAAAACATTTCTTCCATAGTGTTGTTGATAGGTTCTTCTATAAAACATTTCTTATGTATAGAATTGTTGGTGATTCACTTCTAAAACATTTCTTCCATAGTGTTGTTGATAGGTTCTTCTATAAAACATTTCTTATGTATAGAGTTGTTGATAGGTTCTTCTATAAAACATTTCTTCCGTAGTGTTGTTGATAGGTTCTTCTATAAAACATTTCTTCCATAGTGTTGTTGATAGGTTCTTCCATAAAACATTTCTTATGTAGAGAATTGTTGGTGATTCATTTCTAAAACATTTCTTCCATAGAGTTGTTGATAGGTTCTTCTATAAAACATTTCTTATGTATGGAGTTGTTGGTGATTCACTTCTAAAACATTTCTTCCATAGTGTTGTTGATAGGTTCTTCTATAAAACATTTCTTATGTATAGAATTGTTGATGATTCACTTCTAAAACATTTCTTCCATAGTGTTGTTGGTAGGTTCTTCTATAAAACATTTCTTATGTATAGAGTTGTTGATAGGTTCTTCTATAAAACATTTCTTCCATGTATAGAGTTGTTGATAGGTTCTTCTATAAAACATTTCTTCCATAGTGTTGTTGGTAGGTTCTTCTATAAAACATTTCTTCCATAGTGTTGTTGATAGGTTCTTCTATAAAACATTTTTTATGTATAGAGTTGTTGATAGGTTCTTCTATAAAACATTTCTTATGTATAGAGTTGTTGATAGGTTCTTCTATAAAACATTTCTTCTGTATATTTGTTAATGGGCTTTTCACAAGAGAGGCATTTCTGCAGAACTATTGTTGCTTTCGTCTTCTGTATTGATATTGATCTATTGTCATCTTTAGCCTGTATCTAATAGACAGGTTTTAACATTCATCTTCATCAAAATATATTTGCCACACGACATCACATTTAATAGTTACTTTATGTTTGCTGTAACGTTGAAGAAAAAGCTTTCTTATTCAGCTAATGGGAAGATGATACCAACCTGTCTATACAGCTTTTGAATAACGATATGAGATTTGTATCTTTCTTACTTTTCATCGACCAACTCTTTGTCATCATACACGTTTGGTTTCATTGCTATTTATTCGCCTTCTTGGTACGGAAAAGGAGCAATTAGTCAATTCCGTTGGATTAGCAAAGTGCAGCATACTATCGACCCTGTCCGTCCATTGGTCCGACAGCATTTCTATTTGACCTGATTAATATTAATAATATTTTGTTCTGTTAATAAGTAATTAAATGATATAAAGCTTTCTTGAACAATTTTCACAGAAAAATAAAGTCAAACATCAAATTATTACTCTTAATGAAACAAGTTATTATTGGTTGTGGACCAATTACCACTAAATTAATAACATTATTACGGTAGCTTCGTCATAAACTCATTTATTCTATTGTACTCAAGATTGTAAAGGGAATTTAACATAAGACACATTTAATACAACAGATAGGTTATTAAGGGCAATACAAAGTATATTTTTGACATCTTAATATCTGAAATCCCCTGTAGTCAACCTATCCCAAATTTTGATATATACCTTTGAGGTCTCTTAATCAAAAATAATTGATAACATAGAGTTTTGGAGTTTCAGTCGATCAGTTTCTTTTTATATAAATAAATATAGACCCACCTAACATTGATTTAGACTTGACGCGGCCTTAATTTATGGAGCAGTATGATTTTGTTGATAATATAAACATTGGGTGAATTTTTTTCAATAGGGTTCGACTAATAATTGCTTTTAGTTCATTATCGAAGTGTTATTTTTTAATCGAATTTTATCTTTATAACTTGTTATTTTAATATTCTCAATCTATTGTGTATAAAATGCAATTATATATTATTCATTGTTATGTATTGAAATCCAATCTTATATGGGTTATAAATATACCTTTCATCGGTATTAGAGCTTTATATTGGGATTTCTTTGAAACATATCATTCTATTCTGCATTTTTTCTGGGGGTAGTATCCCCTTAGGGCCTGTGAATTTGGTTCAACCAGACCCTATGGTAGTTGAGCCACTGAAAGTCAAAATATTATGTTTCACGCCCCTTTTAATGGTTATTCTTTCATAGAGATAAGTAAAATCTGCATATGATAATGTTGACAATGACCTAAATACTAAGACCTTCGTCACTTCAATTGAATCCATTCGATTCATTTGTTCAAAGTAACATAGATCATTCAAAGGGAGCTCTAACGGCTGGACAATCATCTATTAAGACGACTATTTCCCTTTAAACTTTTCGAGCATGATCAAATACGCGGGGCAATACACTTGAACGTTATGGGGGCCAATCGTATTCAGAATTAGATGCTATGTACTTATGTCTAATATATACGACACGATACATCTGTGCAATGTTCAATTTTGTCTTTGAACATTGCACAGATGTATCGTATCGTATGTATTAGACATAAGTACATAGCATCTAATTCTGAATACGATTGACCTCCATAGAACGTACGTTGTCAGATATTTTAGTAATGTGCTGAAACCTCGAAACTTAAGGTTATTCTAGGGGCTGGCCCACTACTGTACATTACTCGGTGTGATTATTTTATTATGTTAACTTACTCATGCAAATATCAACTTGTCACAACCTAGTGTTTACCTGACTCTCTTTCTCTGATATATATCATTAGTTGTTAAACAGAAAACTGTTTAAAATTGTCCAGAATAAACACCATAATTAAAAGAGAGAACGAAATAATGAATGTTTAGCAATATTTTGGGCAAAACTATGCCAACTAGTGTACTAGGTTACTTTAAAGTAGGACATTGTAAAGTAAACGTCATTAAATGATTAATTGATGCAGACGATTCCTTGAAGAGTAACACAATCAAAAGGCAATTAACATTCTAAATCGCCCATGTTATACATTAAGCGAAAGTAACGAGTAGCAATTTAAATCTGTAGCTTTCAAAAACATAAGCGTGCTTTCGTTCGTAAAATCAAGAAAGCAGCACGTTAGACCGAAATAACTGTCTCTATCCCTGCCTCTGATAGCTATTTGGACAGGCTGTAGGCTGGTGTAGGTACAGAAAAAAAAGTCCTGTTAAATGGGCACATTCCGAATCTTTGCAGATGCGAGGGGTTTTAAAACTATTAAGATCTGCAAAAACCAGGTATATTTTGAAAGATGGATATTTCAGTCATACCCTCATTTTCTCCCTACACCATTTATGTCATGTCTCCGGTTCCATCAAAGTTTTTTTACAATCATCGTAAAGGTTATTTAATATTTAATATTATATATAATATTAATATTATAATTTAATATTGGAAAAAACGCACCTTTGATCGTGTGGAAAACCCCCATTTAACAAGGACTTTTTTCTGACTCTACTCCAGCTGACAACTGTCAAAATTTCCATCAGAGGCTGGAATAGAGGTAATGTTTCGGACTAGGAATACGTGGGAGGTGAATGTAAATCATAATGAACATTATTTTGGTTAGTTATGTAATCAGGACTATTTCGTGATACGGGTGTGAAATAAAAGAATCATTTTGAAATATTTGAAATATCTTGGTATATTTAACATTTAGATATTCTATTGTTCATCTAGTTGCTAGTTAAAATTACCACTCGAAACCAAACTGCTCACTAATTCAAAACAAGTGGTTGTCTAGCAAGATACGCCCACTTTCCTGATACATTTAAAATAAATCTGACATAAACTGTCACCTCCATCCCGTTCACAAGCCAACAAGTCAAGAGCAATAACTCAAATTCGTTGATCAAAAAATTGTCAAATTCAACCTTGACTAAGATCTCATCATTATAAATGTTCACACCAAATTTCATGTATATCGGATGAAAACTGTAGTCCTTATTTTGTTCACAAACAAATTTTGACGCCTTTTTTTTGTAATTCAAGGCCAATAACTCAAAAATCGTTCATCGAGAGATCGTAAAAGTCAAACTTGTCCAAGATCTTATCAAAACAAATGATCACACCAAATTTTATGAAGATTAGATAAAAACTGTAGTCTCCATTGCGTTCACAAGCCAATTGTGAACGGACAGGGGCGACGACAATATACGACCACAATATTATGTGGGCGTATAATGATCAATATTTGATTTTATTATGTTCTGGTAATGTTCTTTTTTTTTAAAAGGAAATACTTACTATCAGCTGCAGTTTCATCAAACAACCACCAAAACTGTGACACAAAAAATGGCGACCAGCATACAATGTAGGCTAATATGACCACAAATGTTAATTTTATTGTCTTTAATTTCGCCTTAGAAAATCCTTTCGCGGAATGAGTTCGTGGATATGGGTTACTTTTGTTAGTGTGATTTCTCCTCCGATTTGTTTTGTCTTTCTTTTGGTTACCACTTCCGGTATTGCAGGTGCTGTACGAATCTACTTCATACACTAATTGGCACTTGACGCCATTTTCTTCCTTTTTCGCAACATTTGTTTGAGTAAACCTGTGTTTTCTCCAGATAGTATAACAAATGGCCCCGTAACAGAAAATTAGAATCAGAAGTGGTATGAAGTAAACGGTGACTGTGAAGGCAATAACGTACATTTCCAAAACCCAGGGTGGGTCGAAATGAACCCAGCAATCCATCTCATCACTACCCAGTTGGGTAGCCTGATATTTAAAAAGTAATATCTGGGGAAAACTGAGAATTCCAGATATTACGTAAGCACCAATTACCATAAAGTTCGCCGTTTTGTTGGTCCAAGTATGAGTGGATAACGGATGACAGATGGCACGGTAACGATCTATGGCAGTCATAACCAAAACATAGGTGGACAGATACATTACAAACACTTGCATGTACTTGACAAACCTACACAGAAAGTCTCCACCTTCAAAACGGAATGTTATATCCCAGATCAGTTGGGGTAACACATTGAAAAAAGCGACAAGTAAGTCTGCAATACTTAAATGCATGATAAACATATGCATTCGGGAACGCACCTTCCGTCCACGGGCTAATGCGATCAGTACACAAATATTTCCAAATATTGCAAGAAACAGTATAACTGATTGAATGGCAATTTCCGCTTTGGCTAAATCTTCATTTCGACCAGAATGATTAGAACCGGAAGTTGTTGAATTCACGTTCACTTCCATCACATTTAACTGCAGAGTCACATTTCCTAAAATTTTATCCATGACTGTGATTAGAGCTTCAACTTTCACTGAAATAAAAACAAAGTTTTAAAGTAGCCATACGAGATAAAATTTCATCAAAAACCTTGTTTTGAGCAAATTTGATTTCAACCACAAACATTGAACAAAAATCTTTGTCAGCATAGCTGAATAGTTGGTTTATTTTAGATTGTTATTATTCATTATCTTCACTATTTTTTAAATAATGTTTGATAGACCAGCTCCTTAAAAGTAATTTGTTTCTAAGCTGAGCAAAATGTACTTGTAATAATATCAAGTAGAAGTAATCTGTCTATGTTATTGTATGGGTATATAAACATATCAACTCTATAATCCATTACACATTGATTGAAATGTCACACGTTGTAAAAGGCAAGAAAGACATCTTGGAATCTTAATATTCATTTACCACCAGTATAAGAAAAATTAAGTTAATATTAGAGAAGAGGAGGGTTGGCATCTCTAAACCGTCCTAATGAAGTACAGATATTTATAGTAAATTTTATAAGGATAACAAATTCGTGAAGCATTCCATATTTGTGTATGTAATAAACCTAGTATATCCATATAACTTGTGTTCTTAATGTTTACCTTCCAGCTTCTGTATGTCTTACAAAGATTATAACCACGAGGATAACAAGGAGGATAACAGGATGATCCTTTCTACCATCTAATCCTTGAGCACACCTCTTAATCTTAATCAAACGAAAAAATCCGTTTTTTATCATTGAGCATGCTGAACGTAGCTTTGGCAATAGGAAGACTCTGTTATTTAAGTCTATGCAAAAATTTAACTTCATTTAGGAGGAGAAAAAAACCTCATTAAATGTTTATAAGTTTCATCCACTCGAGCTTATTAGGTAGAAGATGAGATTTCCGGCACGATTGTCTCTGAGAGATATCATAATAACAGTCAATTATTGTCTGGCTTAACTCCAGATTAGCAATAGAAACACTGCCCTAATTTGATTCTAGATGTTATAGTGGGACAATATTATGACATGATTGTATCAATCACGTACATCTCTACTTTATTGGTACATCCATACTTACCGTATGATGTGACACTGACAATTGTTAAATGGGAGAAAGTAGTGAACAGTTTGTGACGCGTGGTCAAAATCAGTGTAGGCAATACCAAATAATGTGTCTCAAAGACCCATAATGTTTCACAACGAGTTACAACGAGAAAACCAACATATTCAATGATATATCCATACCATAATTCAACGCCTACACAGTTGATGAAGCCAAAAAAGTCCAATAGTTCATTAGATAGATGAAATAGATATATGTTTTGACATATTGACAAACGATCATAAACAATACAGCCAATGACATGTGCTTCTGCTTAAAGCTGCAAACGAATACCACCAGTTACTGACGAACACCTCTTTTTGGCCAGTATTCTAATTCTTTCACGCAAAGGCTCATATGGAATGTCGGCATGATAGTTAAACAGTAATTAGACAAAATTAACCTATATACCTTTTTATATTTCCATCAATGATTCTACTTTAAATCTCATTTCTGTTACTTTTTGGCGAAGATATATATAATAATCATACATTAAAAATAATAACACTTTATCTCTGGAAAGGTAGAGGGAGTTGTCAGATTCGTATCTCTCAATGATAAAACTAACTAATATTACTTTGTTATTTATTGGAGCGGTCCTCACACTATAACAAGTTGCGTATGGTTGCGAATAATAATAGCGGTTCGATTTTTATATTGTTTTACCATAATATCTATCTCCTGACTTTGACCTTGAATGAGCTTGAATTTTTTCGAGTAGAATGATCCTAACCTCGGCTATCTATAGATATGCTGATATTGGATTAAAAACTTCAACTTCCGGATTTATAGCCCACCGAAAGTAATTTTTTGCGTCCACACATGTATATAGTCGTCCACATTGTCTGTCTTTCCACATTTGCTGTGGACACGATAGAGAGGTGGTTTCTTGATGGCGTTTGACAAAAACGCGTTAAATTTTTATTTGAAAATGTGTTGTTGACACGATAGAGAGCTGGTTTCTTCATGCATATTGATAAAATTTGATGTGCTCCCGGACAACTTGGCGACTATTACAATTGTTGGCGTACCAAGATGGCCACATACTCTAATAAACACAGGGATTTTTTCAGATTATTAATATAAATATTAATTGATTGAATTTCCCATTTACAATAATGTATAAACCTGTTTTGAACAAAAAATGAAATTTTTCAATTCCGGTCCTAGCATCAAATGTATATATCCCCATATCAATGTGGTTTTCATAATTAGGATATACTCGTTTTGCTCTTTTTTTAATGATAAGGATGATTTGCTCCAAAAATTCAAATCATTTAATCTGACTAAATTTGAAAAAACCTTTGTCGTTTTATTTCTGAAGATAAAATCCTAATGGTGTTAAAATGATTGACAGAACTGTTGATTTGTATGTATTTTTTTACCCCTTAAAAAATTTGTTTATTTTTTGCCGATATGAAATTACATCTATTCAAAGCTGTAAATTCGCAAGTTATCAAAACATCTTAATTAACAAATGTCTAATACTTGTGAAATATACAAGTATATCTAAATAGGCAGACGATGTATTTTCTATATCAGAACAATGGGTCATAAAATTCTTCGCGGATGGAGTACAATTTTTTTCAACTAAATTTTTAAATCCTTCGTTATATAACTGTCAGTAGCTAATCCAGTGGAGTTGTCGGGGTAGGGGACGATTATATACGTAAATAATTACAATGAATATATTTTTATTTCGTAATTAAATATAGGCTTTTCTCAAATTATCCAGATTTAAGAGTTTTAATTTCTTGTTCACAAATGGTAAGCTGTTTTTTTCCCTAATATTATAATCATTTCCCTAGGGCGAATCTATGTCATTATAAAATTGTTGTCGCTAGGACAGACCTAGCGCACATAATAATTACGTCATTAGTTTCATTTTAGGGGACAACAAGTCTCAAACAAATTGATAAGGCAATTTAAAGTTAGGCCCAACCAAGACGATATTGGGGTCTATAATGAAAAATACATATATTATATAACTCTTCGCACGAATTCTTTCCTAGGGACAGTAGAGCATGCCTTATCGCCCAATCATGGCGAATTTTCAAATCTCTTCAGGTTGGATCTTATATGAGCCCACCACTAGATCACCAAACTAGAATTCCAATCAATCCTCGGAATCTGAAAGTTTTCTGTCATCAGGATATTGGGAACAGATTGTACTGTCTGGGATCACAATAGTTAGATATTGTTACTGTTATCATGACAAAATGAGTCAAAGTGACATAGATAACGTCTTATGCAAGATCGCACAGCCTGTGGATATTCAACGGTTTCTTGGATACATTTCTTACATGAGATATCAGTCAGAACTACAACCGAAATAACATTTCCAATACAGAAAACCCATATCGTGGTTATTTATTACCCGACTTTTCTAAATACCTTTAAGGGGGCGTTAAAAATACTCTTTCAATGACTCAAATATACATTCTTCATCATCCATATAATATAGGAACAATACATATTTACTTGGTATATATATAACAAATACTCAATCCATATCTATACATAATGATTTATAAAACATATCCTATTTTCGTCTTGGGAGTGCTTCGTCATATAAATAGATATGCATTCTATTACAATAGTAAATTATTACAGATAGTACAGGTATAATTACGATCGTATGTCGTTCCACTACTATTATCATTAAAATGTCATGTAATATTAATACTAGCAACTACAAATAGCAAAAAGGTTATTATTGTCGTATTTCTGTCGATTTATATCTATCTGTATGAAAACTACGACGAATCTGTCGAATGACTCGTACAAAATATCCTAAAAGGAGCAGAATAAACTGCGGTAAGTATCATTTTAAAGAGTGTTGTTCATCTATTTTATATTTTAATATGCCAAGATCACGTACCAAAATGAACCGAAGAACAATTCTTCAAGCGGTAATAATATTTATCTGCTAATGCTGTTTAGACGCCATTCATAAACAACGGCAATTCAAACTAAATTGATTATAAGAAAATTGTAAATAAGATAGCGTCTGCAAATGTGAAATAATCAGTTCACTATGTTACTGGTTAGGCTAACAGTTTATATTTAATATTTATATCACTTAGAGAATGAAAGAAACTAACGTTTTACTTTTCTGTATCTGATAGGGCTTCTATTACACACGATCAACACCATAGCAGCGGCAGTGAGAGACAATAATAGTGACGACCGTCAAAGGATATTAACTCGCAGTGGGCAGTTAAACACCCCATCTAAACGACACGGCCATTCTTCTATGTCAGCCATCCGACCAGAAATGGGTAGAACTTACAACTGGGTCGAATTTATGTCGCTCTAAGATGCCCCACTCCGAAAGATATTTGTTTTTTGGTATCTCAGTTTAATTAAAATTAAAACCAAAATTCGTTCAGTTTATTAATAGCCAATCAAAGTTCTACTCGGCGATTGAATTTTGGGCCTCATCACACGGGCGAACGTTCAAGAGCGGAGTTTTTAGATCTTAACTAAAGTGGCTAAATTAACAATAAAAGCAAATAAAAAACAGAACGAAAATTTGGTCTAATTTCAATTAGACTGTTTGGTATCTGTTCCACATTGTGATCAGTAGAATATAATTAATGTCTTTGTATCACTATACTACGATAATAAGAAGTCAAACCTACCTCTTGATGGGTGGTTATTTTCAACTACCTACCATTTCATAAGAACAGCGCATAAATATTAATGGAATAAGCTCTTGTAAAAATCTTTCCACGGTATTTCTATTTCAATTACACGGTAATATTAACCTTTTATAATCACCTATTTATATGTATACATAATCATTATTTATCTTTCTTGTCACATCTGGGCATATTGAA